AGAGAGAGAGAGAGAGAGAGAAGGAGGGAGGGAGGGAGGGAGGGAGGGAGAGACATATAAACACACGTACGGACAGACATTTTGTTTGGTCATCATAAACATAGTTTAAATCATCAAGAAGGCAGGCTTCTACACCGCGTATCGGAGCCGACCAGGTCTGAGAGGGATACAGCATCCTAACAGGAAGACCGATATACCGCATAAAAACCTCTCGACACGAGAATCGAACTTGGGTACTCTAAGTGCCTTGAGGAACCGCCTAACCATACACTGTAGACACAGTGGGGAAGTCTGATTTATCGGTCATGTGGGTGATTGTTGGGTACTCTGGTGTGGTTTGTTCCTTATTTCCTATCAAATATCTTTCGTCCTTATCGTTGTCACTCCTTCAAACTTATGTTTGTTAGTACATGTATTTTCTACTTGTAACACCTCTAATCTTTGGCATCTTTTGACCTAATTGTGCCGTAAAACTCTTACAAAAACTAACCTCTACACTACAAACGCCAGTGGAAGTAAGATTTCATGATCGTGTGTGAATATTTCGCTGACAAAGCACAAGGGACACGACGGTAGTGGGTTTTTTTTCGTCAGCCAAGTTTTTTGTTGGGTTTTTTTTTGGTGGAGGGGGTGTTTTTGTGTGGGTTTTTTGCATGTGTATCTGTATCTAACCACATTGTCAATTATTGAGGCAGAGACACTGAGAGACTATCGCCGTAACCTTGAGGAGCACAGAGAGGTCAAGGCTGTTTCACGGTATTGGAATGTTGTGAGAGTATCGACCCAACACCCTTGAAACAAAAAAGGAATGAAGAAAGAAAAACAAAAGAATTAAAGAAAGAAAAAATGAAAGGATAAAAAAGAAAGACGGCAGAAAGAAAACAAAAGAATTTGAAAGATGAAGAAAGAATCTAAGGAAAGAAAGAACAACAATGAATTAAAGAAAGAAAGACAAAAAGAAAGAAAAAGAGAAAGAAAGACAAAAAGAAAGAAAAAGAGAAAGAAAGAAAGAAAGAAAGGAAAGAAGAAAGGAAGGAAGAAAGAAAGAAAGGAAGAAAGAAAGAAAGAAAGAAAAGAAAGAAAGAAAGAAAGAAAGAAAGAAAGAGCAAGTGGTCGATTGAACGTGAAACTTGCGGCAATACACGACAAAATGGCTCACCGTCTAAAAATAAACCTCCTCAATAATTGTTCAAACGCGATGTTATAGATTTAAGTGAAAAGATTAATTTCGAAACAAAATATTTTATCGATTTTTTTTCGGGATTTTTTTTTTGTGTGCACATGACGTCACGGTGACCCAAATTTGGCCCACTAAATACGACCTTCGGCCTGCATCTGTTGTAAGATGGTAGTGCTCTTCGCCGGACGTGGGTTTGATTATCGTGAGGAGAATTTTTCTTTTTTTTTTTTCATTTTTCCTTTTTTTTTTGGGGGGGGGGTGGAGGGGAGTCTAATATCTTTGGCTGTTTGTTATAGAAATGTTGAATCTATTCGGCCCGGGTAGCTTTGGTAGAAAGGGCGGAAACACCCCGGCGGCTATATTTTGATAGTCTACATCGTGTTGACAGGCGGCATAAAACATTTAAATCCAATTAGCTAATCAATCAGTCTGTCTATTGATTTCACGTTAATTCAATTTCGCCTCTAAAAGGAATCAAACTCGGTCATTTGTGTGCAGGTAAACGATGACTCCTCAAAGTTCACGACGGATATAGGGCACAGGCGGCTTAACAGACAGAAAAAAAAATAAGTTTGTGGGTGGTTGGTGAGTGCTGAAGAAATATGTTAAGCTCCTTCTTTCCTACGAAACAGAATCGTCCCTATCTTTCCTCCTTTTTGAATAATTAAAAAAAAAAAATTTTTCGCCTTATTAGTAACACATCTAATCTCTGCAATTTATAATACAATTAAGACGGATTTATGCCACAGGTGCCGTACAACTTTTACTGACACAGATATTAAAAATTCTATACTTACTTTCTTTTTTCTCCTCTTTGCTCTCCCGTTGGCTACAATGGGAAATTTTAATTTCTTTTTATCTCGTTTCCCATTCCGAAACTCTGTTTCCACTTCCGCCTCGTCTTCCTCTTCAGCTGTGCCAGGCACTACTTCCGGATGCGCAGTGGCAACCACTTCCGCCTGCGCAGACATGACGTGGTCCCCCTCCGTAAGGAACAATTTGAGCTGCTGCAGGAAACTGTCACGCATGGCTGGCGCTGCTGGGGGTGAGCGCACACGGCCTTGGTGGCTCACGGTAGCCGCTTTTGTTTGTTGCTATTTTGTATATATATGTTTTGTAATAATCGCCTGTTTTGGTTGTCCAATCTTAAACAGGGTGCCCACCGACTACGTCACATTTCAAACCGAAAATGTCATTGTATGAAAAGTTGTTCCATCGGATCACAATTTCAATAACAAATCAAATTGCCTGCCTGTAGACTGTTGATTTGGGTTTTTTTTTTAGTTTTAACATTTGCCCCGTGTATGGGCCGACAGCTGTGAAGTGTAAAGATACTATACATATAAGAAATACTTTAACCGTTAAGTTTTTGCCCCACGTATGCACTGGCCTTTATACAGATCTAAAACAGCACCTGTCACCCTTTTATAGCCGACACCCTCCCTTGCTACTGCTACCTTTAAGAGGGAAAATAGAATAACAAATAGAAGAAGGAGAAGAAAATAAACGAGAAGAAGCCATACTTCTTCGTACCACCTACGTTCATGCATTTCAAAACAGGACATTGAATAATAAGTGTGGGTGATCCCCACCGCACACCAGAATTAATCAATCACCCACTGGTGGATGCCCAGGTTGGCAAACAATTATCTAAAAGGTTAGCCAAAACAATAGCACCTCGCTACCTCAGAATTACAACGTTCTATCTGACATTTTTGTGGCCGTTTCGAGTTACTAACAAATAGTCTATCTGCGCTATTCAAATTGTAAGATTATTCGGAGTCACTATCAAGATATTCAAAGAGTTACTTTCCTAAAAGCTCGACATGATGTGAAACTCAAGATCGTTGACATCAAATGTATCAAAACTAGGTACTAAGTAGGAAAAACTTTGTAATCATCAGACAACGACATCAAAGATCGTACATAACAAGATAGTTCCTCGGCCAAAAATGTGTCCGCGGAAGTCCGCGCATTGGTACAGATATCGCTACAGTCTTTGTTTTGAACTCCATTAAATTGGGGAAAAAAAGAATAATAATCCGCAGACAGGAAAAAGAGGCTAAAACAGTACCTGGACATGGATGGTACCTCTATAAATAAATCATTGATGGTCAAGGTCAAGGTTTTGAAGCTCTCTTTCGTTTCTCCAGAAGAAAAAATAGAAATAAACCCCCTTGCGCATTTTGCATCAGCTGTTCCGGTTCGCTCAGTGCGGAGTTTTGGGGGTTTTGTAAATTTTAATGACCTCTCGCCTCTCGTTTTAAAGCCAAATTAAACGAAGAAAACAGTTCTCCTGAAGAGGATTTTTCGACAGCGTAACCTTTTTTAAAAGGCGTTATTCCGAAATGTAGGTTATCATTTATTTTAAAAACTTGTTAGTTTGACTTTGATTTTTTTTCACACAACAAGTAGGGTAACTCTTCGCAAAGCGGGCGCTTTTTTAAAAGGGGCTTTTAAATTTTTAATTGGTTCAAAGAGAGGAGTGAACCATCGTGTTATACAGAATCTTTGCTTTTCTAAAAGCTCGACATGATGTGAAACTCAAAATGTTGGACGTCAAATGTCTCGAAACTAGGTACTGAGCAGAAAAACTTAGTAATCATCAGACAGAGACATGTTGACCTCGGATATAACATAAAGAAATCAGATTCCGTTTAGAGTCGTGAGTGAACAACCATGATTCTGCTGAAACATTTGCTGCTTCAAGTCTGGCACTTCTTGCATGATGATAATTATTAGAAATGATTGTATTATTAATTATCATAATTAGTAAAGAAACGTGCGGGAAACACTTCGGCTGCACTCACTGACATCATTATC